GTACCACTGCATCCCATCTCACAGTAGGAATGCTGTGGCTATAGATGGGTACCACTGCATCCCATCTCACAGTAGGAATGCTGTGGCTATAGATGTGAACCACTGCATCTCACTTGTTTACATGTGTTCCAAGATTGAACTCAGGTGCTCAGGATTGTACAACAGGTGCTTATACCCACTGAGCTCTCTTGCCAGTCCTGAACCACCCCTTTGTGAATCCCTATAGTGCTTCCACAGTTCTAGATCAGAACACCTTTTACTCTGTCATTTTGTACATGATAGTGTGAGTTAGTGTCAAGAAATAACAAAATTCCTACAATAATAAAACTGTGCATGAGAGTATATAAATATGAAAAAGAAATTAAACCATTAATTGCAATAATTGGTATAGCAAATGGCACATGCTTGTAATTTCCAATTTATTAGTTGTAGTATTTTGTTGTCTCTTGCTTACTCGCTGTCATATTCATGAAATCATAGATGTTTGAGATAGAAAATATAATTAATTCATTAGTACCTTTTATCTGAGTATCTGCCTTCTTTTAACTACTGTAGAATATACTTGTCACCAACATGGGCGTCTGAATGGTAGAAAAGTCAGTCTCTCTTTTGGACTGAAATGAGTTTATTTCAGCTAAATTCCAGGCAAACACAACTGGGGTGGTGTCTTAAATCAGTCCAGGAACATTAAAGCATTAAGTTGGAACAAGATCCCAAACATTGGAACCAGGATCATCCATAGCACTTCCTGGGTCACACACCCTGAGAGACAGACAGCCCTGCTGCTGCTGCTGCTCTGGAAACTCTCCTGAAAACTGCAGATCGAAGGTTCTCTCTCAGTTAGTTATGTTATGTGCTTCGCTGCTTTGAAGGCTTCTATTCATTAAGCTAGTTCCAGGCACGGGAAGTGGCTCATTCATAAACTGTTGACCTTGTGAGCACCAGGACTTGAATTTGATCTCCAGAACTCATAATCCCAATGCTTTAGAGGCAGAAATGGGCAGATGTCTGGGGCTCCCTGGCTAGCCAGCCTAGCCTACCTCTGGTGAATTCTAGGCCAGTGAAAGACCCTGTCTCAAAAACCAAACCAACCAAACAAAAAACCCTTGAAGTTGTCCTCTGGCCTCTACAGACATGTGCATGTGCTACTTAGACAATCATGTATGCACATACATGCATGTATACCATCTTCTGAATTCTCCTGAAAGTTATAGATGTCATACTTTTTAGAGAATTGAGACCTAACTTACAGGCCACTCTGTATTGTCTGTGGTTTGCTCTTTTTCTATAATACAAATTTCATCAAGACCTAATTTTACTTTCCTTTGCCCTTTCCCTGAGGCTTATTCCTTGTCTACAAATATAAGTTAATTTCATATCATGATAAAAATTAAGCTGGTTAAGTAATCTCCTGAGGAATTTGTTTACATGGCACCCTGCTTTAATTTTCTATGATATTACTTCCTCCCTTTAGCTAAGTGAAATGGTTTTCAATGAAACCTTGAAGCTGGGTGGTGTGCCTTGATGGCAGAGTGAGGATTTGGTGTGTGTGTGTGTGTGTGTGTGTGTGTGTGTGTGTGTGTGTGTGTGTGATCCTGGGTTTGATCACTAGTACTCAAAGTCAACTCTATCTTTTGCTGCACGTTTATTTCCTTGAAATGACATGTTCTTTAAAATTCCCTGTGGAAATACAGCTGATACTTGGAATGAAAGCCAAGACTTGTAGCTAAAGAACATTCTAAATCTAAAACTGTATAGATAGAGGCCTTCTAGGACATTGCTTTTCAAAATGGTCCCTGACCCATCCTCTTGGAATTTCTTCAGGACACTTATTTCTTAATGTGCATGTTCCCAGGCCTCACAAAAACCTAGCTGAACAATACCATAGAGTCCAGACTCGTGAATATGACATGTAAACAATGTCCTCAGTTGATTCTCATGGATCTGGAGCACTGATGATACTTGGATAAGCCCATTTTTATCCCTAGATTGTTGCTCAGATTAATAAACTGAAACACAGAGGTAAATCTGTGGCTGTCCTCTGCTTGTCTTTAGGACCTTTGGCTGGAGTCCTGTGCTCCCCACAGTGGACACAGGAAACCAATATAGATAAGAGAATAATTCTGATTCGCTTGTCTGCATCTTGCCTTAGTTGGCATGGTTTAATAAAAAGCACACATCAGAGGTAGAAAAGACTATAGAATAACCCAGCAGTAATTCCCAAGCAGAGGTAGACCAGTTGTCTACCTCTGCACCCTGCTTGTAATTACATGAGACATTTTTGTTTGGTTGTCATAGTAACTAAAGGTTATTATTAGTACTAGGGGAATGGGGTGGCCAACATCTCTTGATACAAATGACAGTCTACAGCAATGAATTGTCCTGTCTTACTGTCTCAGCTTCTAACACGGTCTTGGTAAAGAACACTAATGGCAGACCAGGTGAAAAAATGGAAATCCAGAAATATTGCTCACCTTTCTTTTATAGCATTATCTTGCTTTCTGTGTTCTGTGTGTGTGTGTGTGTGTGCATGTGTAAGGGGAGAATAAGAGGAGGAGGAGGGAGGGTGTTATCTATTTCACAAACATTCTTTAAATATTGATATGTGTCTTAGGTAAAATTCTATTGTTGTGAAGAGACACCATGACAAAGCAACTCTTATTAAAAAAAATTTACTTGGGTGCTTACTTACAATTTTAGAGGTTAGTCCGTGATCATCATGGCTGGAAGCAGACAGGCATGGTGCTGGAGCAGTAGTTGAGAACTTTACATTCTGATCTGCAGGCAGCAAGCAGAGAGAGAGGGAGAGAAAGAGAGAGAGAGATGGGGGGAGAGGAAGAGGGAGAGGGAGAGGGAGAGGGA